CCTCCCAATTTTCAACATGAATCCTTCCGGCTCCGGCTTCGTTCCCGACAATCTCCCCCCGAGTGACGCCGCGATGTGGTTCTACCAAGAGTGGGGCGATCGACCGCCGATATACGAGACGCAACAATCGGGGTACGTCGACCGAGATTCGGTTCCGGAGACTCAACCGGAACCGTCCGGATCGAAAAAAAGTACACGCCGGAGGAGCCACAAAGCCAAAAGCACGTTGACCGATGCGGCACGGTCAATCCAAAAGTGGACGCCGGAGGAGGAGTGCATATTGGCGTCGGCTTGGGTTGACGTCTCCGAGCATCCTATCATTGGTAAAAAATTTGTTTTTTCTAATATATTTATATTTTTATTTATATATATTATATTTAATGGTGTCAAAAAAAATTGTGTAATACTTTTTTAAAGGTACGGAGCAAACGAAGGATGCGATGTGGGATCGTATCGAGGAGAAGTTCTTCACGGCGATGAAAAAGGACGGCTCCTACCGAACCCGTGACCAACTCACTTCCAAATGGAGCCACATCAACAAAAAAGTACGAAAGTTTATGGGAGTATACGAGGAATGCTCCCGGTCCCGGAGGAGCGGCATGAACGACGCCGATGTTCTCCAATTGCCACGACCCGGTATTAAGACGACGGGAACCAAGGCAAGGTGCCCATCGATCTTTGGGGGATTTTGAGTCGTTCCCCGAAGTGGCAACAACTCAACAATCCCGACGGCGTATCATTCCGGAAAAGATCCACCGTCGACGCCGAGGTTGAGGTCGACGAGACCATCGGTTCTACCGATCAAATCCCTTCCTTCAACGTTGCGGCTTCCAATGACGAGGACCCCATTCCACGGCCGATCGGAAGAAAGAAGGCAAAATCCATTGCCTCTGGTTCGGGAGGGTCCGCCTCTATTTCCGCTTCTCCCCGCGACGAAATCGGCCGGGCAATGGTTGAACAACTTCGGGCGTTCAATCTCCAAGAACACGAGAGGTTGAAGCTTAAAGAGAAGGAGTTGAAGCTAAAGGAGCAGGAGGCCGAGATGAAAGTCATGCAAACCGACCCCGGGACGTTGTCGGAGTTTGGACGAATTATCTACGAGCAAAGAATGAGAGAGATCAAGGAGAAATATAATTTACCTTAGTTTTTTTTATTAATTTAATTTTAGAAGATGTATATTTAAAAATGTAAAAAATGAAGGTTTGAAGCCCCGGGGCTTCAAACCCATTTCCAGTGAATTTTGGGTGTAAGTTAAAGCTGACGTGACAGAGAGAGAAAGTTTGAAGCCCCGGTTTGAAGCCCCGGGGCTTCAAACGTATTACCAGTGCTCTTAGAGTAAGTGGTGGACGTGTCCCTTTCTCTCGCGTAGAGAATCCCAATCCATTTCTCTTATTCCCAAAATATAACTTACAGTGTGTGTGTATATAATGTTAATTATTCTACCATATAATACTAAAAGACTATGGATACTAATATAGAACACTATCATATTGTTAATATTCCTATTTTATGACAAAAACATGTCCCTTTTAATTTGAGATAAGAGGCATGTTTTACTCCCGTTTTAAGCTATTTCTTTAAAGAAAATAATTTTGCACTAATATATTATTTTAGCAAATGAATAATAATAAAAAGAAAAAAAAGTACTCAAAGTTTGTTTGATCTACAAATGTGAACATGATATTTTAAGAAGAAAGGAAGTACTCCGTATAAAACATTCATTTAAACTCTTAAAAAAATTGATGCAAAAGATAACATTTGAGTTAGGCATGATTAACATTTACTCTATTCTAGTGCCTCCTATTTTAGAAAGAACAATGCTACGTTTACAAACAAAATGGTCAGAGACTGCACAAACTTTTCATTTATAGTTTACATTTTTATTTCAAAATTATTCTAGACTATTTAAACTTTTTTTACTGAAGTTCACAAATAGTAAGTTTATGAATTTTCTAATTATTTTATTTGTGAATCAAGCATTTCTCTTTTAAAAATTTGGAAAGAGGCATATAAACTAAAAAAGGAAGACTGTTACTGATAATGATACTAGTACTTTAACCTGTGTTATGTACGGAGTAACTCATGTTTTGTTTTTCTAATTTTAAAATTTTTATCTGTCACATCATTCTTCAAATTTCAAACAAAATAAAGCATCAACCTTAAAAGCTAAAATAATGATAGAATATACGGAGTATGATATTTGTTAATGAAAATTTTACTATAAATATTTGAAAATTAACATGTCAAATTCTTATTTAAATTTGAACATTTTTAAAAATTAAGGTATATAACATGTTTCTGTGATGTTAAAGACTACAAAAAACTTCTAAAACTAATACTTTCAACCCGACTTTTACTCCTGCTCACGAAATAATAATATAAAATTAATAATTGTAAGTGAATACTAACTTGATAAAAAGGTAATCCTCTAAATAACAATGTTTGGCCCTAACTTTTACTTATGATCGTAGTGAAACATAAACTATTGAAAATCGTATTTTTTTGAAATGTTAAGCGCAATCTTGTATGAAATGATATGTCATTCATTTAGGTTGTGTAAAACAACTCCGCGACTTTGTTTTCTAATACTACAATTGCACCGATGATAATTTTTCGCAACTCTTCAATGATTAATCTTATACTATTACACAATTGATATAGTTAATGAATGTTCCTCAAAAACATAATGAGTATAACTTTCTTCAAATTAAAATTACTGCGTGGCTTAAGTTTCTCAAACATTTATTTTCATTCATAAACTTAACTTTTATACAATTGTCATTTTTTAAATTAAATACTTGTACACACACTTACAATCATCAATAATAAAATTACAATAAGACTAGTCATTGCCTCATTGGTGGAATTATTAAGAGCGTCAATTACTTTCTTGCAATCTGTTTCTACAATGTTATACCTCCAAAATTATTAAGACTGTTGTTATTATAATTATTACTATTATTATTACTAACTTATAATATTATTATTATTACTATTATTATTAGAATTACTACTACTATTATTATTATCATTGTTACTAATATTATTATTACTATTACTATTATTGTTTATATTATTATTGCTATTACTATTATTATTAATATTAATATTATCATAGATAGTATTATTATTATTATTACTATTATTATTAATATTTCTATTATTATTATAACTATTATTATAACCATTTTATTAAAAAATTTAATTTAATCAAATTCATATCAGATTAGACTCAATCATATCATACCAAATCATATCCAATCCAATCCAATCTGATTACCAAATCAGATATTCAAAAAATCTGATCAGATCAGATCAGGCGAACGAAACGCACCCTTAGTAACATAGGAAAATATAAGAATTCATGTTTCAGGATCTCACATCTCTAACCCTAGTTAGATCACCTTAAATGGACAACTTTACCCTTAGAGGTTGGCTTGCACCCTTACTATGGTATGGTATGCCCAAATGCATGTTATCTCTTCATTGCAAGGCCACTACACGAAATGTGCTTACATATCGACCCGAAGACAGGAATCCCAATGCAGCCATTGTAGTCGCACAAGTTTTACAACACAGGAATGAACCAACACAAAGTGGTGTCAGATTAGAAGATTTACATCTAGCTAAAGGAAACCAAGCTAAATGAGCAAGTCATCTTTTACAATGTGCAGACTTTTCACTCACCCAGCTTCTTCAAATGCACAACCTCTAGAAATCTTGTTTATAATGGACAGAAGGCGGCGTCAACTGCCTTTATAATAGGGGCAGCATTAAGCCGAAAGTTTCTAAAGCTTCTGCCGGGGCCCGCGTCTAAGACTTTTACATCGTTTTTTGTTGGTTTTACTGCTTGACTCTCTGCTACCCCTGAGCTTCCTGTAGAGCTATTCTTTGCCTTCCACACAATGTTTCCTATGAAAAATGAAATACAAATGAAAAAAATAAGTGATAGGAAATACCCACAACATCCATGAGGGCACGGTTAAAGTTTTATGTGAAAAATGGAAATTTAGAGTTCAAGTAGTATTGTTCCATCAACCTATAAGAAATCAATATCACTTTCTAGGCACTTCACATATCCCAGGTTTTTTTTTGGGGGGATACCTTCTTGCTCAAGGGTACTTTAGTAATAGTAATTACTCCCTGCGTCCCAAAGTTATGTGCCCAGTTTGACTGTACAACTTTAATTGTAAGTACTGCTTGAATTTGTGCAAAGAAGAGAGAAACAATATGAACCACATATTGTTTACCTTAAATGTAAACATGCACATTGAATAGGGACAGACCAAAAAGGGGGAAATGCAAGATAAATTGAGACCCAGGGAGTAACACATTCTACCTACTAAAAAGGGATTAAATGAACATTTCTAGTCATGCTTGAATCACACGGAAAAGTTGCAGGGAGGAGAGAGAACCTTTCAAAGGTCTATCAGGTCTAGGTTTTACCGGAGGCTTGTGTGCAGAAATCCATGCTCTTAAAGACCTGTAAAGAGTTCTCAATTATTTCCTACAAGTTATATTGGGAGAGCTAAAAAGGAATGTGCACTTAACATAGACTGTTTAAGACTCACGTTAGAAATGGAGCAACCATGTAAAGTTTGAAGCCATTGTAACTGCGAGATATGACATCACTATTTCCTGGTTGGAATTCATCAAGTCGCTGCCATGCAATTTCCTGTACACAGAAAAGGTATTTCAGCGTAGACGCATTTGTACCTCTCTATAACAGACTGATTTTTCACACAGTTTGTCCAGAGTGAGCTATTATATTAATTTAGTAATTTAGCAGGGGGTAGCTAAGCGGATTTGCATCCTACAACAAGATTTCTAACTATTACCAATGCTAGAGTTTTGGAACTCATCCATGGTAGTACAAATCGCAGACGATAATTTTTTGTCAAAATACTTTTTTTCTTTGAACACCTAGCCACTAACCTTACAAACAAAACAGTCCCTCTTTCTAAATCAATCACTTAGGGCATTGATGGCAATTTGCATAGAGATGATTTTACTTACACTAATCTCCTTTTTGGTGAGGGGAGCAAAGGCTGTATCATCTTTCACTCCAGCAATTATGTAAAGTCGCACCCTTTGCTGCCCGAATAACATTTCAATGAACTCTTCCTTGTTAAGAAGTTTTGATACATCAAATCCTGTTTCCTCCAAGACCTGCATTATCCATTATACAATACATTGCGAGTTTGTCATCATAACACCATTACCACCACCATCTTTATACAAACTGCATTGGGGTTGGTAGCAAAAAATTTAATGTGAGATAATTGTCTAAAATGTAATTTAACACGAGTACACATTTAAGCAAAAGGAAAACATAATTGAAAAGTCTACTCTATTATCACGAAGAGTGAAATGAAATTTCAAAACCAGCATTTTCAGGTTCTATCCGCTTGCATGGAGAAAATATCATGAGCCATCAACTAGTGGAGATAGAACTTATAGTCAAAAGGATGGGATGATCAGATAGAGAATAACCGCAAGTCACATTATGGGTATTCTTTGAACATCATTTAACACTCCAATACTGATCCAATGATAACAGTTGGGTGACTTAACCAAGCAGTAATATGCATAAATGCAAAACTACCCTAAATAAAGCACCAAGCAAATGGACATATTCATAAATTGGTGTATACATCTGATAAGCATGAGAGGTCTTAAACATATGTACATGAAGCCGCTGTTTAAAAATAAGAGAAGTTTTAAAATTAAAAAAAAAGGGAAGAAACCTCTCTAATAGCACATGCATGATCTTCCTCATCCTTGTTCTTTTTTCCACGAGGGAAACTCCAGCTTGATCCCTTCCAACCCTTCACTAGTAAGCACTGCATTTCACACAAAAACCCCATCACCACTAACAAGCATAAAAGAATATAACAATAAACAGAAATTTTGTGGAGGACATCAAAACAAAATGAAAGCAATTACTCATTATGGTATCACTCCCATTAAAAACACCTCATCTGTCCAATTTATATGTCCCTCCTAACCCTATTCTTGTGATCAAAACAGCTCTCCTTTATTTTAGACAACATACTTTCATCATATTCAAATTATGTTTTCTTTTTTGCAGTTTAATAGAGCTTTAAGTATAGTTTTTGAATACATATATTTTAAATTGGTGGGCTTCTTATGACAACAAGTTTTGTTGTCATACTATGACAACAATGGCTACGGTGCTCTGTTCGATAAATTGATGGTTCCTACCCCTTACCCCGTCCCACCTCCCCAGAACCCCCTGTCCCCCCTCCCCAAAATGCCGATTTGCCTACGGTGCTCTGTTCGGAAAAAAATTCGAACGGAGCACCGTAGTCATTGTTGTCATAATATGACAACAAACTTGTAGTCAAAAGCAGGGAGCCGATTTTAAATACTTATACCTAATTAAATCTTAATGCAGAAACTTTGATATTTACTTCAATCAAGCCAATAAGAACAGCCCCTTATAATTTGGGACAAGGAATTCATGCAAAGCCAGCTGCTTTTATTCATTTAGATTACAATATAAAAGAAAATGTTGTCAATGCCAATATCAGGATCAAACTTCTTCACATGGTCTTCTTTAGATGAATGCTCAGAAAACAAAGTAAAATTCATTCACAACGGGTTTGACTAGGAAGTATAGATCCTTTATACTGCAGCTGATCTGTATTTAATGTCCTAAATGCAAATGCAAATATTTTATAATGATACTAATCCTGCTATCATTCTGTCCCCCTTTATATTCACCTTTTTTCTTATTTGTCTGTTCCAAAATTATCTCCTATTTCCTTATAAGCACAACAATTATGTGGTTGAAATTGTTTCTCTTCTAAATAAGTCTCAACAAAAAAAATAAAACTTTGTTCAAAATCAAGCAAAGTCATAGAAGGAAAGAAATAAGGGACGGGGAGAGTATAACAATTCATAATGCAACTATTGTGTGTTATTCTTATTCACAAGACTTCAATGTATGACCAATATATTTCCTCTGTAATTGAATAGTTGCTCCAGTAAGGTTTACACGGTTTTAAGAGTAAAATTTTAGGGGCATTGAATAAGGTATAAACTAGAGTCTTAGGGAGAGTATCAAGAGGTAAGAGAAGTAGGAAAAAATGAAAAGTAATAACATATTGATAAGCTCAAACTTTCCAAAATAGAAAGTGGAAGTTAATAGAAACTTGTGTAAAAGGGGAAAGTGGAGCATCTATTCAAATAGAGAAGGAGAACATAAAATGCAATAATACACTGCTTTTATTTACTCACGCTGACTATTTGGAAACACAACAGCCCTAACAAGAAAGAATAATAATTTGAAACATATTTTTCATAAAATTGATTGCCCGTGCCTATTAATGTTTTTAGACAATTTGAGGGTTCACTTTGTTCGCCGTCCCACCAATTAAAAAAATGAGGAATATATAGATACTACACTAGCTGAGCAAGTATCTCTTCATATGCTCCCATTTCAAAAAAGCAGTCAAAAGTAAAATCCTAGTGCTTGGCTCTTACCCGTTCAAAAGTCTCATCCAGGATTATGGCTCCTGTAACGGGAACTCGAACTTTGTATGAAGTGAAGTCCTTGAAAATATCATCTATATGTGCAACATATGGTTTTAGAACGTCACAGCTGTTAAATACTGAAACGAATCAAGGAAAGCAGATAGACTCATAGTCCAAAAAGAAACAAAAAAGTAAAGTAAATCTAACAACTATAATTGTGCAGGATAGATTGAATGAATTATTAAAACAACACAATTTTGCTGCATAACTACTTGCATTATGTTCCCATGTAAAAACATGGATTGAAGGCTGTTGATTTATTGACTGCAAGAGGTTAAATCATTCAAGTGCATCAGTTTATTTCAGCAAGAGTTCAAGTGCATAAATTTATTCGTGGAAGAGATCCAAGTGCAGACGAAGGTGAGAAAATGCATCCAACTCACATGTCCTTCAGAAGAAACAGAGTTAAAAGTGGACCTTTCACTAATCCAAGATAAGATAAAAGAGAAGAAACCATTTAACCAAGCCACTTAAATTCCATGAGCAATATCAAGCAAATGGCACAAATGATGAGAAGTGCATCATACAGATAAAAAGATTTAACAAGAAAATAAAATCTCAGCCATGTAGACACTGAAGTCTGAAGGATACAAAGAGAAGTGAATTCCTTAAGCGTGAAAGATTTCAATGATGGGTTATTCTCAACAGAATTGTCCTCGTAAAACCAATGTGCGCACTCCACAAGAAACAGAATCCTCTCAAATGACTGTTGATCTTCTTTTGGAACATTCAGAACAAAACGACTGCACCAGGCAAGAAAAAAACATCATTTATAATTCATACCACAAAAGTGCTAGAAATGTTAGCACGAGTCTTTCAACCAACAACAGCAACAAAAACATCACGGTACACACAGGGCTCTATCATAACTGCACATTCAGATACATTAACTATGACACCAGGTTGCGATCCTAGCAGACTTCTTGAAATGTTTAACACTTCTCTGCTACATTTCAACAAATTGATGTGTGAAGTCCCTTATAATAATTCTAAGAGCTAAATAATTATATCAAAGCAATAACGAAATGCGCTACCAAATTATCCCACCACTTTCAGCCTATAATCATATGAAGTGTCCATAAACAGTCAAATGAATTCAAATAAAACGTCCAATTCCTTGATCTTTATGGCAAATCCTGATCATAAGAATAAATATAAATAAATTTTAATCATGAAAAAACACGTAGTCTGCTACTGTTGCAGAATGAATAGATAACAGACGAGCAAACGCCCGATTCATATGCGGGCATAAGTATGTACACAGTAAGTGAAATTTTACCTGCAAAGATCATCAATTAATTCTTGAGGAGGAAGACCATTCTTGGAGGGAGCGCAGGAAGAGCGGTTGAACCCGGACATCTGTTCAGACCTAAACGAAGAACTAAAACCCTAATTTTTTCTGATTTGAGTTCAAGCGTGTGAAGATAGCGGAGGGGTAGAAGTCAAGCACAAATATTGAAGAAGGAGATCAGTCGCCGAAGATAGGAAAGTGCTATTTGGGTGGCCCGCCGTACCAATTTTCACCATCACACTCAAGGGAGGAGTAAAAAAATTTGTTCATTCTTTTTAGTTTCCTCTATTTTTTTCCCATTCTTTTTTTCATTTCTTCCCAAATTTTTTTAGTTTTTTTCCTATTTTTATGATTTTTTAAAACAATAGTTAAAAGATAAATTCTGTTGTGATCCGTAAGACATTCCAATGGAAGTTCTGAGGGAGGGTCTTAAGCTAGACTCTCTTCCATTGAAATTCACAAGAAATTAAGAAAATCTAGAAGAGAGTTTAAATTTTTAGATTCACTCTCAAAACTTATAATTCAGTCCATTCAATAAAAATATGACACGTGTAATCAATAATAATTTTTAAAAAAAAATATAAATTAGTTGTAATTACTTTGTAACAAAAAAAAGTAACAATCTCCAATTAGAAAGAAACTTAATTGTCAATTGTGTCTACTTATATAATTTTATTTTGTTATGCTTTTATTTAATTTAATGTAATACTTAATTAATGCAATTTATATTAGATCTTGAATAATTTTAGTTATGAACATGAAGTATTTATGACAAATGGATTATATTATGTTTATAATTATAAAGCTATTGTGCTAAATTAATGATTATGATTATTTAGAAGAACTCTAAAATATTCCCCATGCATGCGACTAATTTAGTTAGGCCTATCAGGTATGATGTCTGGTAGCTATGGTTAAAATGTACGTACGGGAACCGCAAACCAAACTAGAGTATCTACTTGTTTGGGGGTACCACCCAACCCGACAGTTAGCAGACCGCTATTCGGTTTCCGAGCGTGACCTATAAGACTCATAAGATAGGTCATGGTTTAATTTTGTGTTTTGTCTTAAATTAATTATAGTTTAAAAAACTTCATTATTAATACATATTAGCCTTAGCCTAAGAATCGTTTAAGAAACCGTTATGATTTGGCCTTAGTTTGGAATAGATTAAGAGTAATAATTCGTGATAAAGCTTGATATGAAGTTACGAGTGACAAATGATAAGTATTGTGATAATTAGAATTTTATTAATGACACATGATTATTGTGAACTGTGGATTGACATCTATGCGAGTTTGAATGATGGATATTTCTGAGTTGATTATATATTCACTACCACTGTAAAAATAACAAAGGCGGTCGTAAACATGAAAAGGTGAATGTTTTTAATAGATCTATGTGATTGATATTGTGAAAGAGATTATTCTGTGAATTCTTTTGTTATCTCATGGTACTACTCAGCTTCATTGCCGAGCGTGTAGACTTTTTCATCTTTCTACAAGTAGGTATAAGAGATAATAAATGTGGAGCCTATCTTGGAGAGTACTGAGATGGAGGCGATGAGTGGAAGTGCACAAACTTACTATTTGACGATTATAGGTTGACCATACTATTGTAATTTCAAATTGCTTCTGCACTGTTTTGCAGAATTCTACTCCGATATTATTCCAAAATATTTTGCACATTTTTTAAAAATAAAATTTTAAATATTTTAAATTATGATATTACCAAATTAATACTTTAGTCCGAAAAAAGTTGCAGACCTAAACGGATTTAGGTGTTACAAATATTATACCTTGATAAAATAGAACACATGGGTACTTGTTCCAAAAACTTTGGGTCGAGCTCCGATTGACTCTAATAAGTGGGTCTACAAAATTAATTAAGCATAATGCATATAAGCGGTCTTGCACGATAAGGTGCGCTTTGTAGCCAAAATAAAGCTTTAATAGGAGTATTATTTGATGTCTCTAATGTCTTTCTACATGAAGTAATTGATGAAGATATATACATGGTTCGACTACTGAGCTATGTTAGGGGCAAGGGAGGTTATAATATGAGCATGCTGGCATTCAAAAGTCAAAAGATCATTACGATATTAATTGTTATTACTCCTTCCGCCCCTAAATAGATTACAATTTTTTTTCTCTTCTCTGGATAACTTTTGTTTGTTTACACGATTTCATTAAGTATTTGATAAAATAAAATATTCTTGTCACCTCTTATTTTTGTAGAACTTTTAACGTAGTTTTTTAATATATAATTTTTATATTTTATTGATATACCAATTTATAAATAAAATAATTTCAAAAAGTAGGAAATTTTACTCCGTAACCCGCAATTTGTAATCAAATTGGGGACGGAGGGAGTATTATTTTTATTAGTTTGTTGTTTTAATAAATACACTCAGCAATGCGTGGAAGCGGGAGTAGATGGATAATACCTCAGAAATAATTTCCAGTGACAAACATCATAAAGCTGCATGTCCATTCTGACCTTAAGCCAGGAAACCCACGAAAAAAATCAGAGGAGGTTAAATGTGTTTTTCATGTAGTAGGATGCTTTACTGCTTTAATTATTTCTTTTTTTAGTCTAATACTCCTTGCACAACCCATTCCTTGCAAAAAAGCAAAACGTAACATGCTCAGCTCGCAGACTTATACCATATACATTTGGTGTTAAAAGATAATGACCCATTTACTTCACTTTTCTAAATAAATACTTCTTGGTCCGTGCATGTTTGTTCACTTTTTACTTTTTTCAGTTAAAATTACTTTTGACTTTTTTCTGTCTCATCCACATCATTATTATTTTTGCAGTACTCTTATTATATACGGAGTATAGAGTATATTTTACACCTATCATTTCCATGGATGGAAAATTGATTTATTATTAACCGGTTCTTGATCTATATGCACGTACGTACAAGATAACTGAAACTCCTCTACATGAAAAAATTCAACCAAAGAATTCTATAAAAAAAGCAAACAAGAAATTTAATTTCGGAAAATTTAATGAGTTACAATTATGTTCACTCAACCATAAGGTTTTTGGCATGCCGAACTTAACGTAGTTATTCAGTATGATCTTTATATGTACGTCGTTTATATATAAATTTCACACTATTCTTTTCCGACATAGATAAAATGAAACTTGTACTTTTTTATTTATCTCTAAAGAGATTAATAAGTGTCTCAAATTTTTTCTTTCTTGTGAATATATTCTAACCATATCATGTACACATTTATTGTTGAACACGAGTATATTATTTAACATTCTAGACATGCAAAGACAATTGTTGTCTGTTTTTTTATTACAGTCAATGACTATTTGTAAATATGTGTGAAAAATATGATGTCAAATTCGTAGTAGGAAAAATTATTTCAAAAAATTCCACCTTTTTTGTGATCTTCCAAAAATAATTTCACTTTTCATTGTCATGAAAAACAATCTCATCTTTTTGCATGTATGCGAGTTTTGGGTCATCGTTAAGAAGCGAAAGGCCATTTAACGAAATTTTTGGAAAATGCCTATTTTTCGCAAATAATGAAAGGTGGAATTATTTTTTGTAAATTCTCTTTTTTCGTTTTTTTAAATTCCTAACCTTAAATTTAAATGTTTTTTAAAAATGTTTTTATAAATAATACCAAAACTTGTGAATATATCTTGATCTGATAGTATACGAGTGTTTTTAATTTTCAAAAACTAGCACTACAAAACTTGTGAATATATTTTGATAATTCTATATAGATATTTTTCTTGCAAAACAACGTTACAACAACATTACAATAGTCGTGAAAATAACACAATAGTTTTTTTTGATCTCTAAAATGGAACTTTTATTTTTATAATTCAATACATTGTTTGTTGTATTGTAATTTATTCGTGAACAACACTCCGAAGTGTTTGTCCATAATCATCTATTACGTACCCATATTAATTTTTCTAAATCGGCACTACAAAACTTGTGATTTTTTTTATAATTCAGTATAAATTTTTTCACTAAAATAACATTACAAAATTGTGAAAATGGCACAAATTTTTTTTAAAATTTGTAAATCATTATATTTTTTTAAAAATTTGAGACAAATCTCTAACAAGAGTGTAATGTTATATTTGTAAAAACATAAATTTAAAATTTAAAAACGAAAAAAGTAAATTTGCCTAAAATAATCACAATTTTCATTTGTTTGTGAAAGCAAGCATATTCCAAAAATTCTGTTAAGTAGCTATTAGCTTCTTAACGGTGAACCAAAACTCGCACACATACAAAAAGGTCGGATTATTTCTAGTGACAGTAAAAAATAAAATTACTATATTTTTGAAAAAATGTGAAAAACAAGATTATTTAAAATAATTTTTACTTTGGTAATAAACTTGGTGGGTTTATTATGGGAGTAGTAGTATGTATGCCTTGCCACCTATATCCATTAGGTTTCTTTTGCATGAAGAAATCAAAAGTGACAGGGGATCTTGAGGATATACTACTACTACTAGTAGTAGTACTAGTCAAATAATGGTCCAACTGCCTTCGTTGAAAAGACACCAACCATATGACACACACAACACAACTACACAAGTCTGGATAACGTATGTGAGGTGTGACACTAGACCAGAAGATTTGATGACCGAAGCCGATCCAATTCAATTAAAAAAATCAGTTTTACTTCTTGATGATATGAACTACTAGTTGATGCTATGTCCCCTTTTTCAAATGTTAAAGTTTAGACAACATTTTAATTATTTGACCGATTATACTTATAGGATATTATTCACTCGTTTTCTTTTACACATTAATATTTTCAGAATTTATCAACTTTTACATTGTTGTTCTGCCAGTCCAACACACACGTCAGCCAACTCTGACTAAATTCTACAGAGTTATTTTGGCTGATATGTCATTGGAAATATTGAGTTGGTAATACATCTAAAATAATAAAATTAAATTGGATGTCATTTGAACATTTTTGAAACTTTAATAAAGAAAACTTAATTGAACCTCGTAAGAACGCCCGTATTGAAGAATGCTATTAACTTTTATTAATATTTCAAAAAGTCTAAATAGAACGCAATGTAATTCTATTGAGGTAGGGGTATCTCACAGATAACCATTGTTTAACCATATTAAAAGATTGAATCTAATCGATCAATTAGTTTAACTCAAATGCTTATATAACAATTATTTCTCTCTTTAACTTTTAATGTGGATACACTCTAACATGTACTACCTCCGTTTCTCAAAACAATTCCCCTTTTGACTTTGGGGAAGAATAAGGAAGTGTTAAATTGTAGTTGACTTTCCAATTTTGCCCTTGATGTGATGGGTAAAAGTAAGATGTGATGATTTAGTTGTTAGTGAAAAAGTATGATGTGATAGGTAGGGTATGAAAAAATAGGGGTTAAAGTGGTTTTTTAATAGAAAAGGGAAGTGTTTTAAGAAAAACAAAAAAAATGAAAGAGAAATGGTTTTAAGAAACGGAGGGAGTATTAATTCTTGGGGTTTATGAGGCTTAGCTTTATGCACTATACTACTCTCTCCGGTTCGAAAAACTTTTTTTTACTTTGACTTTTTGTAATCAAAGAGTATCACTGTTTTACCAAAAAACCAAAATAAGAAAGATTTTTAGGATCAGAGCACATATTTTTTTCATTAAATCCTTGATGAGGTAGCCGCCACATGGTGGATAGTGTTTCCCTTGGAGCTCTATGACTACACCCGGTCTAATAATAGGATCACTTATCTTGAAACCTATTATTCTCTATAAATAGGGAGTATTTTTGTGAATTTTACACTGATTTGCTAACTAAAACATACTATGGCCCTCATTCCTTTCATCACTTCCAATGAGACTTCCTTCAGAAGAATGCCCATTATGCTCCCATTTCTTCTCGGTTTCTCTCTTTTCCTATCCGGTATGTACTAATTCAACTAATTAACTAACTAAACCCCCATACATACATGGTATCACTTCTGAAATATCCTGATGATTTTTTCTTAAACATGCATCTTATTTGCAGGTTTTGATTTGTTGGTACAAGTTGAGTGCCTTGGCATAAACTATGGCCAAGTTGGCAACGACCTGCCTCCACCTGACAAAGTTCTACAACTCCTAAAATCCTTGAGGATTGACAAGGCAAGAATCTACGACACCAACCCCCAGATCCTGACGGCGTTCGCCAACTCGAACGTCGAACTCATCGTGACCGTCGAGAACCAAATGCTGGCGGCCCTGGGCCGGGACCCGCAACAAGCCGCGCAATGGGTGGGCGGCCACGTGGCCCCGTACGTCCCGGGGACCAAGATCACCGGGATCGCTGTGGGCAATGAGATTTTTAGCGACAGCGACCGGTCCTTGGTCCTTAACCTGGTCCCAGCCATGGTGAATATACATGCAGCCCTCGTCCAGCGAGGGCTGGATCGTAATATCCACGTCTCCTCCCCCTGCTCTGCTGCAGTCCTCGCGAGCTCCTTCCCCCCGTCCTCCGGGTCCTTCAGGCAGGAGCTCGCGGGGCCCATGCAGCAGTTCTTGCAGTTCCTGGAGGAGACGAATTCGCCCTTTTGGATCAACGCGTACCCGTACTTCGCGTACAAGGACAACCCCACCCTCATCTCTCTCGACTACATCCTCTTCAACCCGAACGCGGGGACGGTTGACCCGTTGACCAGACTGCGGTACGACAACATGTTGTACGCGCAGGTCGACGCGGTCGTGTTCGCCATTTCCAGGATGGGATTCTCCGGCGTGGAGGTCAGGGTGTCGGAGACCGGGTGGCCGTCGAAAGGCGGGCCCGACGAGACCGGGGCCACGCCGGAGAACGCGGCGGTGTACAACAAGAACCTGATGAGTAGACAGGCGGCGCAAGAGGGGACGCCGCTGAGGCCGAACGTGAGGTTGGAAGCTTACGTTTTTGCTTTGTTTAATGAAGACATGAAGCCGGGGCCGGCGTCGGAGAGGAACTATGGCCTTTTCCGACCGGATGGGACAATGGCGTATAGCGTCGGCGATGTGACGGCACGACCGTTGCCGAGTCAGCCTTCAAACATAACTTCTCCCGTTTTCTCTGGAACAAGAAAGGTAAACGTGTAATTAAAAATTATTTTTAATTTATTTAAATATTGATATGACATACAAAGAATAATACGAGTATTTGAAAACTATGTAAAAGAATACTTCGACATTAAACAATCAACCATGAACTTCAACCCCCAAAAAATGAACCACCAATTTAACGATTACACGGACAAAAAATGTTAGTTCAATTTAAAAAATGTGCATTAACATTTTTTGCCAATGTTAATCAACACACTAACATCTCACTAGCACAAAATGTTGGTATATGCCTTTGAAGTATAGAATGAGATACAAGTTTTGGTGTACAGATATTTTAATCCTTAAACAATAGTAACTAGAATATTTTATTTTAATAAATACTTAATGAATATAAATAAAGAAAAATATTTGACCATGTAAATGGAACTCCCTCCGTCCCCAATTCAATTACCATTTCTTTATAACTTTTGTTTGTTTATGCAATTTTATTAAGTATTTGATAAAATGAAATATTCTTGTTACCTCTTATTATGTAGAACTTTTGACATAGTTTTTTAATATGTAATTTTTATTTTTTTTACTGATATACCAATTTCTAAATAAAATGATTTCAAAAAGTGAGATATTTCTTCTCGTAAATCTCAATTTATAATCAAATTGGAGACGAATGGAGTAATAATAAATATGAGATTTGTCTTTTCCGTTGACAATTAAATTTTAATTATACATTAATAAATATTATAAAAATATGATATTTCAAAATTATATTCGAAAGGTAATTTATGTGATTACTTAAAATTAGTTGTCCAATAAAAACTTGACAAGTTTACTTAAAAAATAAAAACAATAAATAGACAAGTAGAATTGGTGGAAACTTTTCATATGGTGGGTATAGTTAACTTGGTCAATTTGATTTCTTTCACAACTGCCACATTTCATAACCAAACTGAATTCCACTCTTGTGGGGTATATATGCAATTATTCTAAACTACATAAACTAATTTCTAACTGTACTTTTTTGAATAAAATATTGCAAAATCCTAATTTAAGTTAATATTCATCAAATAACTACCGTGGGAAGAAATAAATTAAAAAATTTTGTCTTATACTCCCTTCGTTTCTAAAAGATTATCACAGATTAATTTTTTGGTCAAACTATGATACTCCGTACTTTTTTACCGCAAATTATGAAAAAAGTATATTTGGTTATAATGTAAATTTTGTAAAAATTTGGGTTGCTTTAAAATATAGTTTTGAAATATCAATTTTTTTATAATATTTAATTATTTTACACTATATTTAATTCATTCTCAAGTGGTGCCACAGTTTGACAAAAAAAATTAAATTTTGACATTCTTTTAAGGATGCAGCGAGCATATTTTTAATATAACCTCCATATCAAAGTGTTTGTCCATGTTTGATTTTTTATAGTCAAACTTAACAATTGAAGAGGAATGCTAGGGGTACACCATTTGGGGTACCCCATAAAGTAAATTATAGCCAATAAAGTAAATTAAATTATAAATAGATATTGATGCGAAAACAATTTCATTAGATTTATCTTATTTAATATTTTAAAAATGTTAATTTCTTTAATTCATAAATCATGTATGAGTATTTTTATTTAATTATAGATTAGAGGTTGATATCTATTGCATTTTAGGAGGGAATATAACCTTAATATTTACGCATTTTATTATTAGGAAATAAGACTTTTTTAGTTCTGAGTAATTCGTTTGCAACAACTTTTTCATATCAAATCTTCAAAAATAAAGTTTGTAAAGCAATGCCTTTTATATACGGAGTATAATGCTTTTTCATGATCGAAACCATTCATTAAACAATAATTCTGCAATGACAACTTTAATCCAATTATGTGGTGTCTCTCACATGATTTTAGTCTAATAAACTTTAGTACGGAGTAGAATATATTATCTCCGTCTAACAAAAGTTTTTGTTCACTATTTACATGGTCAAATTTTATTTACTTTGTTTGCTTATATTCGTGTCTTATTGGATAAGATAGTATAGTTATGTAACCGATAGTTTAGTAGATCTTTTCATGTATTTTTTTGAATATGTAATCCGTAATCTTTAGTTTTTAATTCCATATCATTTTTCATATAAAATGATTTGAAAATAAATTCAGTCAAACATCGAAAACTTTATTTATGGCCGGAGGGGGTAATATACATCCTCATGATCACCCAAAAACTCTTTTTCCTTTCCTTTTTTCTTATCCTACAAAATCATTCTCTTTTCTATTAAAAACTCATTTTTACTCATACTAATTCTTAACATAATTATCAGATCATACCTGTTTACTAATACTCAACCCATAATTCTACTTTCATCCATCACATTAAGGATATTTTTGGAAAGTTAACACAAAATTATCTTCCCTTAAATTTCCTAAAAATCAAAACGAAAATATCTTTATGTGACAAAGGTATGTGTTTTATTTGGTTTTGAACAATTGTGACATCCTATTTGGAAAAACCACAATAATTACATCGTTATAACTCGCATTTGTTTTTTTTTACATGTTTGTTTTTGAATTGGTGGCACTGATAATTGCAATATAATCTCAACATATATACAGGCAAAACAAATGGACTGTCAAAGCTTGGAATATTGGATGTTTGTATATGCGCTGGCTGGCTTGCTTTATAGGCTGTTATAACCATTAAATAATTAATAACTTTTCCGTTATTATTATTATTATTATTAAATTTTAAGTAGCAGATTAAGATATTCATTTTATTACTGATGAATATATGCCAGAAATTCTATGTAAATACAAGGTATTGCACTACTTACTACGCCGTATGTTTTAATTTGATGGTTAGTTGACATTATTGTGTACGTAATATTTGGTGCAACTAAATTATTAATCGTAATGTATACTTTCGCATGTGTACATTATTTTATGATAATAATGGGTTAATTATTTACTCCATATATATTTACCTCTAAGTGTATTACTTCATATTTATTCGAGTAATTATTTCTTTTTCATCTTACACCCAAGAAATTAGACTGCTAAGGAAACACAACCATCAATTATAAAGAAACTGTCCGACATGGGTTGCATGTAGAGGGGTATAAGTGTACAACCCCTTATTTTGTGGGAGATTAAAAATTAAAAGTCTATCTAGATATAAGTAAACTGACATCAAAATATCATAATAGAAATGTCATTATTTTTATTCATAATTTGGAGTTTTGGTAGCGTGAATATATGACGAATTAACATTGTGAATTGTGACAATGTAAATTAAAGATGGACCACTAGTCAACAGTGATCAATGCCGACGACCCGCAGTGGAGCGCCGGTGATATGTGACAACGTGGGAGTGATAGCGTAAACTCTTATTAGGTCACAAAAAGAATGTTATCCTAAATTTGTATTTTCATTGTCTTTTTGCTCCTATTTAGAGAGTTCTACTTGAAAATTAGGATGCAGGCTATGGTGTTAAAAAAAGAATGATGCTTTTGCTTAAAAATTTAGCATTCAAGGTGTTAAAAATTGTCTTTTTTTGCTCAATTTGATTATTTAACTGGTTAAAAAAGAATGATATATTCGTGAAAATTCAGATGACACTATGGGCAATGATCTTATGATTATCTAATGGGCTAGTTGACATTATGATTGCAATGTTTATGTGGAACGCCCACCTCGGGCGCCCCACACCCCAGCCCGACATGACCGTGAGAGAGGAAATTATGGTATAATCTCAATATGATCCTTAGAAAGGCCGCTCTATGCCCTGTGCGCACAAGAGACTATTACAAATAATAGAACTTTCAAACTGTCACTGCCAAGATTTGACCCTAGGATTAACGGGTTTGACATCCTTTCCTTGGACCAATTGAGCTATCCATACGGACGATTGCAATCTTTGTGTTCCAAGTAAGGAGGGTGTTACGAAATTAACAAAACATTGACATAATTAACAAAGTATTATTCTTATTTCCTTTTTACTTTTAGTATTTTCAAAAACACTAGAATTTTGGTAGAAATTGATCTTATATTCTCTACATCATAAAATGATCTTCACAGTCATTATTCACACGGTCAAACTTTAATCACTTTCTTTGCCAATTTTCTTTAGTTATTTGATAAAATAATATAGTCATTATGTAACCTCTTGTTTTGTAAAACTTTTGATATAGTTTTAAAATATATAATCTTTATTTTTTTAATTTAACACATATAATCAAATAAATTGAATTGAAAATAGTTCCAGTCAAATCTCGTAAAATGAACTGGAAAGATCATTTTAGAACGGATGGAATAACAATTTTTAATTTTATTACTCCATATTTTATTAAATTATCAATAGAAAAGAAAGTAAAGTGACTCATTCAATAATTTGATTGGGCAGCTACTTTAGACTACATCCCCGTCATCACGAACATGGATTGAGTACCTGGTGACACACCACCTTTTCTCTTTTTTTTCTAATTAAAAGGTAACCTCACAGATCTTTGTTCGATCTCCATTGTGGATATGGGAAACAAGCAAGTAGACATGGCGACTTTTCAATTCTGATTCACCACAAACACGGATAGACATGGACAAACACGGATTTTGGTCAGATTTGGACAAAGCTTGAGATCAATTTCTGCCAGTATATCTGGGCGGGCGCCCGTAAAATTCGGACCAAACATCATGCTCATATCCACCCATGAATGTGACCAAAGCGGACACTTGCGGCCTGGTTCGCAACCTTTAATATATACTCCGTATATATTTTTATAATACATGCTACCACTATTTATTTCATGTTAAAATTTCCAAAGGGATTTGTGACATGCAAGTAATTTTTTTTTTTAAATTTAAATTATTTGAAAACTATTATAAGCGTGTAAAAAAATAAGATGTGCATATTTAAAAATTACATTAAAAGTTTTTTAAAACAAAATATTTCATCCGTCCCATAGAAATATTCCCGTTTTGACTTTTAAGGAATTTAGTAGAGAGACATTTTTGTTGACTTTCTAAAAATATCCTTGATCTGATGAGTAAAAGTAGGATATAATTGGTAGATTATAAGTAAAAATGTATGATATGATATATTTGTTAAGAATTAGTATGAGTAAAAGTGAGTTTTTAATAGAAAAAAAAAGATTTGGTGGGATAAGAAAACATAGAAAGGGCAAGGAGTTTTTGGAACGGATGAAATAAAATATAAGTGTGTTATTTTATCAAATAATCAATATAAATCAAAAGTAAATAAAACTACAAAAAAAAAACTTCGTTTGGGGCCCTTTTGGGCCGGGGCTCTACATTTCTTCATTCGAAAAATTATTGGTTTGTATCCCTCTTATCTCATGTGGTAAAACCACCACCCCATAGGAGTTTTATATAATCTATTAACTTTGTAAGTACTTTAAATAAAATTTGAATTTACTCTAATTTTTTATTTAGTGACTGTTTCAAAATTAATTTTGTGATGTAATTTTTTAACTTGAAAATTAACAATGTGACAAAATAAATATTTCAAAAAAATAATAACTTTGACATTACATGCTCATTACAATAGGGGAAACATATACTTCTTCCGTACATAATTATTCTTCTCATTTCGTATTACGATCATTGATTGAAATTATTTTTATTTCTATTTACTTGATTATAAACATAAAATTCAAAAATAAAATTTATAACTTTAAAAACTAATGAAAAGTTTTACAAACACAAGTTGACATGACTATATTATACAATAGTATTATTCTACTACCTCCGTCCCACTGTCTTTGTCCACATTTGACTTTTGGAACTGTTCATCTAAACACTTTGACTCATCAAATTCTCTCAATGTGTAAGCCTAAAAATAGTCATGTGTGATCTTGTTTGATTCGTCTTAACATATACAAGTAGATTATTAATATATAATTTCTATAATTTTTTAATATACAAATTACAAGATAAAATGGATTAAAGAAGTGCATTGGATGGTGTGCCAAAAGGTAAGTGGACAAAGACAGTGGGACGGAGGGAGTATTATATTAAATGAGTAGTGAAAAATATAGAAACAAAAGGGGCCAAATTTGATTATATGATAATCTATAGCATGTAGAATACAGGGCATGATAAAATATTTGACCCATATACAATGAAATTGCAAAATTACCTACACATAAAAAGTATTTTTAGGTGTAATATTTAGAAGTTTAAAATTTTTTATATACAATAATTTATATGACAAAACTATCAGAGACACTAAATATTGGTGTAAACTAATGAAAAATGCAAGTTACATATAATAGTGAGACTTGAGAGAATGAAACAGAGCAAAGAAATGAAAAAAAAATAGAGAACGAATTAAGAAGAAAAGAAAAAAGAGAGTATTTAAATGAGGGCAAAATTAGAGGCATACGTAGTGGTGGGTTTATAGTTTCATCCTTTTTAAGAATTTTGGGGTACAAACTCTATCAATTATGGTAGCACAAAGCCACAAATATATACTATTATATGAATGAAGCACAAAGCCACAAATATATACTATTATGAATTAAGTTACTTGTACACTAAAAAATGTATCATACTCCAAATTGTATAATATACTTGTGCACCTCTGTATATTTTGTGTCAATGTGATACTAGTGTGATGGTTCACTCAAACAGATCGAAAAAACTAGTGTAAAATTTTTTAATCGCACTAGTATTTTGTGATAGTGTAAAGTATCAAAATTTTAGTGGATACCTTTTGATATATACATTATATGTATATAAGCCCGCACAAAACTCGAGATTATAACATTTATCATTAGGCATAGCTACCAATGCAATGGTTGAGTCGTGGACCTGCTTTTAACGTTTAATTTAGTGTCGGTTATATCTATACTTTAAATGATATACTCTGTAACAAAATATTGATAAATTACAAAAATACTCATTCTATCCCGAGAAAAATTTTTCTTGTCTCAAACAATATGAAAAATTCTATCCATTTTGAAATAGTTTTGTTTAGAAACATATATAAAAATAAAAAAAATATAACTTACATTTTAAAAAACTACACTAATTAATTTTATTGGAAGAGTGATGTAGTAAAAAAACTGTGATGGAGAGATGGGGGGAGTATCATTTTACATATATTACCCTCAAGCCCGCCAAAAAACACAGCTTGCGCGGCATGACAAAGCAATTTCTAATTTGTGTTCGAGCACAGGCACGTTCAAGGTGATTGATGCACAGAGCTTGTGCAGAGCTTGAGTCTTTTAGCTACACTACTTCTACTCTGCATATTTCTTATTTTTAGGCTTCGTTTCGTTCAACTTATTTTTCCTGATATGAATTTTTGTAGTTCTGATCTGATCTGATGTGATTGGATCTGATCTGGCTTGATCTGATCTGATTAATTATGATTTGATTTAAAATTCAAATCAATAATTTGATTTGACTTTATACTAATGTTTAAAAATTGTAATGATAATTCATATTATAATATAAGCAATATTTTTTATTTTATTACTCCGTATTATTTTTTAATAAAAAAAAATAGTTAATTCATATATGAGAATAATCATTTATATTATAATGTAATAATAATTTTTATTTTATGAATATCTTTTTGTGAAATAACAATATTGATTTAGTATTTTAATTTTTAGTTCATATATACATTAGAATAAATATTTAATCTATATATACATTAAAAAGTAATTAAATTTAGATAATCAATATAGAGAAGAGGTAGTATTTTTATTAAAGTATTTCATCCTTATAAAAGATCAAAAGTTTAGAAACTCAAATTACAGGTAGCAATAAAAGTGTATTTTAAAAGTAGAATTAAATTGACATTATCAATGTATTTTAAAAATAATTTTTCCGATGTTTAGTAATTAAGGACTACTTTCTCAATTTTCTATTTAACTTGTTTCTAAAGTTTATTCTTTTTGATTTTTAAGAATAATAATAATAATAATACTAATAATAATAAGGAGTAATAATACTCCGTAATAATAATAATAATTTTTGATGGATCTGATCTGATTTTAATAAGAATAAAAAAAATAAAAAAAAATAAGTTGAACTGAACTGGGCCAGGGTTGCTTGTAAGGTTCTCTGGTAGGTGACCGCGGCGCAGATAGGTCAAGCTCTTAAGTTGGTGTGTTAATGGAGAGATTTCTGATGAGAAAAATGAGAGAATCGATGAACAACAACAGATCTTGGTACAGATGACGGAGGAAATGAAAACAATAGCTCACGGCGAATCATCCACTTCAGCGGAAATTGAACAGGATCGGATGAAACTGTTGGAGGTAGGTAATCCGAAACATCTACGCATATTTCAATCATGAGGCGGAATTTCCCCAATTCAGTGGAACTAATGCTCGGAAACAAGTCTTATTTAGGGTTTCAAAACCATGTGATAAAAATGTGTTGCTCTGAATTCAGATAGGTATGATCGTGTTGAGTTTATGATGTCTTAAACTATTACTAATTATCTCAATTTCTTCTTGCATATTGTCTATTGCTGATCTTTGTTCTTGCTGTTACGATTTCATTCGATCACTTATTAGGTTGTGTGCTGCTTGATTTTTCTTTTCTTTTGTGTTTACTGCTTACAGTTGGAGCGATTTTAGCTTTACTGATTTTATTTAATGAAATCGTTAATAAACTCAGCCCTAAAGGTTCTCATAGAATTTTGTCTTTGCATGTTTTTTCTTTATTACTCTGACAAGTATGATGATGTCTTTTATGTAATGGTTGTCAATCGGGATGCTTCTTTCTTTGAGAGGTTTCAAACACTTGGACAATTCATAATCACAATGTTTATGAATGCTTTCTTGGCAGAGGCTTAATTGTAGCCCAAGTTTATGTTATGGTATGGTGTAGGGGCGTTCATTCAGTAAAACCAAACCAAACCAATAAACTGGGCTTCTTTCAGCAGGATAACATCATCAATCTCGTAGTTCCTCCAGATCCTGTGCACAAATCCTTTGACAACCTCTAATGGGGGGTTTGCTCCAAGGATGCAGCAGATGATGGCTGAGTCCCAACTCCAGTCGGCTTGGATAACATCATCCCCCGTCATGGTTGCAATCTTTTGTCCATTGATCTCCGAGCCCTCCACAAATTCCAGATTGAGCATCATATTATCCCCAACTGCATCTGCGAAGGTCTTCTTCTTTGGGCTAGGTGTTTCTTCTAAACATGGTATTGTGTTCTTCCCCTGGTCCGATTCGTTTCCAACCAAACCTTCTGTTGGCTGGCTGCGATTTGGGGGTAATACATGTGTCTGCATCATCTTTCTTGGCCTGATTAGCGTTGGTTTGGATCTTCGGCTTCCCTGGTTTCCTCGTCGCCATTGCAGAGCAAACACTAGCCTTCTCTAAGAGTCTTCTTATTCTTCCAGGTGTAAAATCCCCCTTCTACTGGTAAGTCTTCAAGCCCATTCCCATCAAGACAGTCATTGAAATCCCTTATTTCATCCTCAGTCATAGGGTTACCTCCTATCCTATCAAAGGTGGATTGAATAGTGTATTTTTCAATTTTCTTTTTCTGTAAAGTTCATTCAACGTGGTTCCGAGTTTTCGTGCAGTTGATATTGTTACCCTTTTCATCCCATTCTACCTTGAGGCTTTTTGTTGGCATGTTCAGTTTTGGTGATGGTAAAGAATTTCTTTGTCATTGCTCTTGGTTGTGTTTGTGATGAGAACGAGATATGTGACTGATAGGGAAAGTGGGCTTTGGGAGTGCCGAGGGATGTTGGATAGAAAGGAGTATGTCATATTGCCATTAAGCAAATACACTTCTTAGGGGCTGGTCGTGATGCTGTCTTGAAAGAAGTAGAGATTCTATGCTCGATGCACCATGAGAATATCGTGCGGTATTTCCATGCATGTCTCTTGCTCATTCGATGATGATTTTTGTAAATTGAATGTTTTTCAAACTTGTTTTGTCTTGTTTTGTTGACAGTCTTGGATTCGCGATGTCATCTAGGAGTTGGTGTTGCCTTGGAGCGTTAGGGATGCCTTTGGTGTGAGTGAGGATGACTCTGAGGACAGCATTGCCAGTGAGTAAGCAGATTCCATATTATATATAGCTACGGAATACTGCCCAAGGATATTGAACTAGCTGATCAAAGAAGGAGATGATTTCAATGCGGCATTAAAGTTGTTTAAACAACTCTTGAAGGCCTTGGTTTATATACACACCAAGGGTATAATTCATAGGGATATATCAAGAAAGAGTAAATTCTATAATTGGTCCTTTATAACAAGGGGATTTCCCTATTTAGTCCTCTATTATCAAATATTATCCCAGTGGTCCTTCTTCTATGGGTACCTTTCCACAAATAGTCCTTTATTTGAACTTCTATCATGTTGGTGTTAATTTGAAGGCTAAAAGTGTAATTTCACAATGATAATATATACTTTTTGTCATACACAATTCCAAAGGCTGTTCCGTTTGCGTCGTTTGTGAATTACAGTCGCTTTTTACGACAACGATAGTCTACAAATGTGATCTTTCGTCAGAATCCTAGCTCACAATCATAGTCATTATTTTTGTGTTATCTGCTTAACCAATATCAGAACACGTCATTAGACATAATATTGATGTCAAATTATATTTTTAGCCTTTAAATTAACACCAACACGGCAGAAGATCAAAAAAGAACCATTTATGAAAAGGTACCCTTAAAAAAAAGGACTACAGGAGTAATATTTGATAATAAAAGACTAAATATGGAAACCCCCATGTTATAAAGGACCAATTATGGAATTTACTCATCAAGAAATAACATTTTTGTGGATCTGGGCGGGAATTTGAAGCTTGGGACTTTGGGATAGGTATGTAGTTTGAATTAATAAGTACGTATTTGTATTTGTGAGTTTTACATGAGATGAAACTTGGGTTTGTATGATGCAACAATGAGACAAGGAGATGCGGTGTTTTGCACGGGAGGCAATTGGGTGTACTTGGCTCCCGAGCTCGATGTGCAGCGTAGTCCCACTTCGGTATCCACAAAGGCCGACATATTTTCATCAGGCCTGGTATTCATAGAGTTGCTGTACCATATGGACACTGAAAGCAAGCGATTCCAAGTGTTTAAGAATGTCTCATTGCTGCATCATACAAACCCAACTTTCATCTCATGTAAAACTCACAAATACAAATACGTACTTATTAATTCAAACCACATACATATCCCAAAGTCCCAAGCTTCAAATTCCCGCTCAGATCCACAAAAATGTTATCTCTTGATATATCCCTATGAATTATACCCTTAGTGTGTATATAAACCAAGGCCTTCAAGAGTTGTTTAAACAACTTTAATGCCGCATTGAAATCAACTCCTTCTTTGATTAGCTAGTTCAATGTCCTTGGGCAGTATTCCGTAGCTATATATAATGTGGAATCTGCTTGCTCACTGGCAATGCTCTCTTTAGAGTCATCCTCGCTCACACCAAAGGCATCACTAGCGCTCCGAGGCAACGCCAACTCCTGGATGCCATCGCGAACCCAAGACAGTCAACAAAACAAAACAAGTTTGAAAAACATTCAATTCACAAAAAATTATCATCGAATGAGCAACAGACATACTTGGAAATACCGCACGATATTCTCATGGTGCATCGTGCATAGAATCTCTACTTCTTTCAAGATAGCATCACGACCAGCCCCTAAGAAGTGTATTTGCTTAATGGCATACTCCTTTCTATCCAACATCTCTCGGCAATGTTACACTGCCAAAGCCCCCTTTCCCTGCCAGTCACATATCTCGTTCTCATCACAAACACAACCAAGAGCAAGGACAAACAAATTCTTTACCATCACCAAAACTTCGGTATCCACAAAGGCCGACATATTTTCATTAGGCCTGGTATTCATAGAGTTGTTGTACCATATGGACACTAAAAGCGAGCTATTCCAAGTGTTTAAGAATGCTAGGAAAGGGGACTTTCCTCGAGGCTTGCAGGACCACATCGGACCCCGGGCAATTGATTCCCTAATGTGCTTCCTACACCAAGATGCAGACGAGCGACCTACTGCAGAAACAGCCTTGGAGTGGCTATCAGACAACTTCTAAAATTCTGCAGTGCCATCCATATAACTCTTCTTTAGTTTTCTGTTAATGTTCTTCTGTGCTCCTATTCCATCCATATAATTACTCCTTAGCATGCATTATTGTTCTTCTGTGTTCTTTTAAACATTCAAGTCTATCCTACATGGTTGCACTGAGAAACATACACAGCTTTGATATGTTATCTGATGGTAATATACATATGAACTTGTTGCTCTTGGACTTGAGGAGAGGATCCTAACTTGTCTTTCATGAGTTTCAATGAGCCATGCTCTGATTTCCATCCATGTAACTCTGCTTTAGTTTTCTGATCATGTGCTGTGTTCTTTTATTTCAAACCATTGCTCCTTTCCATCTTGCTAATACAGAGATTTCCTCTACATGTGGACTACTATTTTCAGTATGTCTGTAATATGTATCTAATCCCATTGAAGTTTCTAATTTTTTACGAGTAGTCTTTTATGAGAAGACTTTAATTTTAGTAGCTTAGCTACAAAAAAAAAAAGAGGAAAGAAATTGAGTTTATTAACATTAGTTTAAAAACAATTACAAAAGAATGTCATGTTACTATTAGGATTTCACATATTTTTATTTTAGCTTTTCACTAAAATAGGTATGATAATCAGTAACTAGAATGAGGCTTATCTGAATTTGTATATACAACCCTTAGTTCACCCATTTTTGCTTGCCCTTGAGTTTATGTCGATTACAATTTTGATCAACACCTTTAATTAACTACTCCGTATGTTAAAATTGCTTATTTAGGATAGATTCAAATAAGGTGTTTTCTATACAACTAATTCACTTTAATTGAAATATAGATTTGAATATTACCATTTTAATTAGTTTTTTTTATTTTCCACCAATAAAAAAATTCATATTTTTTTTAGAGTAAATTCCCAAAATGATCTTTTGTAATAAGGTGTTTTCCCAATTCAGTCCTCAATAAGTTTTAATTATCTATATGGTCCCCTATAATTGAAATTTATTCCCAAGACAGTCCTTTGTAAATAATGTTATTCAAATGATGATTAATTAAGAGATATTTTGGGATTTTGATCATCCAAATTAAAAGTATTTTCTTGAAATAGTTATTTCTATACAACTAAATGTAAAATGGAAAAAATACATTGACTATAAATAATTCATGAATTATTTAAAACTTATAAAAAATCTTTTAAATTTCATATCAAATACACATCTTTAATTAGAAAAAATCATTTTGGAAAACCACTTCATTATAAATGATCATTTTAAAAATTAATTCTTAATATAGCATATAAAAATAACAAAATACCCTCATTTAATTCTCATTTGAGTAACATTATTTACGAATGATCATTTTGGTACAAATCTCAATTATAGAGGATCACGTAGGTAATTAAAACTTATTGAGGACTGATTTGGAAAAACACCTTATTACAAAGGACTATTTTGGGAATTTACTCTTTATTTTTATTATTTTTCTTCAAACATCATAAACCAAAACAGATTATTCAAATTGAGACAGAGTGAATGTTTCATTTTTAATACAATTATTTTAAGTTATATATTGACAGAAAATTAATTTTACAAACAAGACTTGGAATACAAGATATGAAGACTTGTTTGGATGAGGTAAGAAAATGAGAGGAAAGAAATTAGAGAAAAAAGTTAGTATTTTTAAGTTAGAAAATGATAAGAAAATGGCGTGAAAAGGTAAAATATAATAAAAAAGACTAGTATTTTAACCCGTGCAACGCACGGGTTTGGATAAATTTTTTGACACTTCTGTAAATTAACTTCAATGCATGCAATATTTTAAATTGAATTTATGAAAATATATATAATATGTTTTTATTACTATAGACATTAAAAACAAAATAAAATAAATAATTTAGTATTAAATATTTTCTATGAAAACTCTTATATACAAATTCAAAAGTGAACATCTCAAAGATTTTCTAAATCTATATTTTTGAAAGACTTTTGGGTATACAACAATTTTGGTGTAGTTGTAAGGATTTTCGTTATCATCTAGAATTAATATTCTTAATTCTGCCTTTCTTTTTACTCGTGAAACAGCACCGCAAAGTTGATCATAAGTGAACATCGAATTGATTAAAAATAATCCAACAAATGATAATGTTTGACTTTGACTTTGTTAAAAGTCGTAGCAAAACTTAAAACATTAGGGATTGTCTAAAAAAGAACTTTAAGAGTAATCGTGGATCAGATGGTACAAAATGCATTCTAGTTATGTAAACCTTTTTCTCGACTCGTTTTTTCGAAACCACAATTGCACCGAAAACATTTTTTCGTGGCTCTTTAACGATTAGTCTGGTCTCATCACGCAATTCAGATATTCGGTCAATGTTTCTCAATAGCATATATAATTGGTGGCCCTTTTTTTCAAAACTATTTTATGGCTTGAGATTCTCGAATATTTGATATCATTTAAAACTCAATTGTTATTCAATCGCCATCAACACCTACATCTCCATTTCCTTCGCATGAAAGTCAAAATTCAAATACTCCTTTAAATTGTCTAGTACTAAAATCAAACCATAAAAAACAATATATTCGAACTACGAAGTTATGTATAGTATTTTTTTATTTTAACACAATTATAGTCCATTCACCGCTTGTTTTATAAATAATTTAGTTATTTATAAAATATTTTATATGTTTTAATTTTACATAAATATATATTGCATTAAAGAGAATCCAAACTAACTTAATTATAACATATCATAAACAAATACCCGCATGACATTGATTTAGGGGTAAAAATGTATCTTATTTATTAATTGAACGTTTTTTTGGTGGGGGGGGGGATTGAAAGTTTTATTATAAGGCAAATTTTTCCGCTGTCCTACGGTCCATGCTCATTTTATAGATCTTGGGGTATTAATATCATAAAATAATTGGATCTTTTTTTTAAATAAATATTCACATTAGGTGGCAACTTTCTTTGCCGGTCAATGAAAAGTGTAAGAAGGTTCACATTTCACACGTGGGCTGTAGAATCATATTTTACCAAAATGTTGTTTTATAAATAATTTAGTGTTATTTTTAAAATATTTTATATGTTTTTGATGAGAACCGAGCCCATCGAGATAATATAGGTAAATTGGGCCTTGGTCCAATTCAAGATCTGTACATTATAAGGAAGATCTGGCCCAAACATGATACAGTGGACCGGCAAAGGGGAATTGTCCAATGTCCAGGAACCAAGATAGGGAAAGAGGTAAGAATTGGGGTCCAAGGGATGGGCTAAGTCTCAGCCCATTAAGAGCGGACCACCAAGAGGAAGGGAACCCTACAAAGAGATTAGGGTAAGCCGCCCTCTCAAATGAGGGACGGACAGTTATTCCTTGGACAGAGACAGAGAATAATGGACGGACGGACAGATTTGTCCTTAAGTGAATGGCATTAAGCTAAGAAATACATTTTGGGGAAAAATGAGGATTGCCCGGATATCCTCCCCAACCACCGCGAATATATTGATGAGATGGTGGCTGGGGAGCTCCTATAAAAGGAGAGAAGAACTTAGATAATGTGATAACTTGTAATAGAGAGAGAAGAGACTTGAGTAATAGAATATTTTGGCGGTCCATTAACATATTCCGATCCCAGGATGGATCGAATAGAGAAAAGGCCCCCAGTTTGAGTTCATACTTTGTGCGCAACACCTTTATTTACAGTCCATTACTCTTTTCTTACTATTTTCTCACTATTATAAGGCCCGGATACTAATATTTGGACCTGGAGCGATCAACAGTCCTAGGAAAAATATTAGGCATCCATCAATTTTAATTTTACATCAATATTGCAATAAATAGAATCCAAACTAACTTAATTATAACATATCATAAACAAATACCCGCATGACATTGATTTACGGGTAAAAACTGTATATTATTTATTAATTGAAAGTTTTTTTTGTTGGGGGGGGGGATTGAAAGTTTTATTATAAGGCAAATTTTTCCACAGTCCTACGGTCCATGCTCATTTTATAGACCTAGGTGTATTAATATCACAAAAGGATTGGTTCTTTTTTAAAAACATATTCACCTACCGGTCCATAAAAGTGTAAGAAGATTCACATTTCACACATGGACCTTAGAATCATATTTTACCAAAATGTTAATTTTACGTTTTCTATGTATCAAATTAGGTGGTATATAATGTGATAAAAAATAATAAATTTCATAATAGGCGAAGAAAGTATTTATTTAGTAGGTGTCAATATTTAAATAAATATAATCAAACTAACTTCATTTAAAGGTATCATAAACAAATGCATAATACTTCGTATATTATTTATTTATGAAGAGAAATCTTTGTTTATTATTTAAAAAAAAAATAATTTTAGTCCAGTCATGTATTGATTTTTAAATTTTTTAATCTAGTTATTGAAATGTATTGTTTGTTTTTAATTTTACATTGCTATTGATATAAATAGTATCAAAACTAATTTCATTTTAAAATATTATAAACTAATACTTGTATGAAAATTATTTAAATGTGAAAAAATCATCTTATTTATTAATCAATATTTTTATAAATGAAGCGAGTAAAAAATATTTTAATGCATTGGAAAGAGTATTTTCATAAAAATGAATGTTTCTCTTTAACAATTAAACTTATTCAAAGATTTCATACCAAAACATTGAATTCAAATTTTCTATATATTAAATTAAGTGATACCTTAAGTGCCATAAAAATATAAAATTTATTTATAGGTAAAGGAAATATTTTATTTAATAGGTGCCAATATTTAAATAAATACAATCAAAGGACTATCATGTAAATGTATAATGAATAAATATAAAATTTATTTATGGGTGAGGAGTGTATTTTATTTATTAGTATAAATTTTTTTTTAAAAATTTTATGATTTAATGAATTCGAGACAGGTATTAAAAATATTTGTACATAGTGTTCTGAAAAAGTGATATTTTATTAAAAGTTATAACTTACATGGAAAATAATTTTAATTCTA